GCTCAAGCACTGCCACCGAGGTGTGAACTTCACAGAGTCATGCCATGTGTGTGTGGTTCATACAGTAAAATAGAATTTCCAAATGCTGCAAACCAGACAAGAGAAAGTTGCATTTCAAGGAAAATATTTCAGAAGGAGAGACTGCCAGAAAATACTTCAGCTGCCAAATAACTGTAGAAAGACCCCTCAGACCCTCCCACCACACAAACCCTGCCTTCTAGAAAGCTCTAGGCACTTGAAATGAAACCTAGATTGCTCAACAAGATTCTCACCCCCATAAGCATCCACTAGCTTTACTGCTTCTAATTTGCCTCTGTTTGTGCACAGAAACCAAAACAGTTTCAGTCTCTGGTAGAAAAATATGCACTACAAGACTACAGGATGTTGCCAAATGGAAAATTATATTATCTCTTTCTTCCAGGATAAACCATATTCGACAAGCAGAATTGATTTGGCCAATGAACACAAGCGGCAGCATCCAACTGAAAACTAGTGCTACTGTTGTCAGGGACATCGTTAGCCTAAGAGATCTCTAGCACAATGGTTTTTCTGGAAAACCCATCATACCTGCTAACACTTCTGGCATTTGGCCAGAGGTTGTTTCCAGTGTACTTTGTTAGCACCAGTGTCAAGTCAGATGTTGCCCACAGGATTGCATTACTCCTCAGATATGCCAGTGGATTACAAATTTAAAAAAATGTATCTCCCTGAACTCATGTGTCAAGCTTCATTCTCCTAGTCACTATGTCCACGAGAAGAATTTGAATACCAAAGCCTGGAACGTAGAGGGACATGCTCATAGTTGCATGCACACACACTAATGTCTTTCATTGTGACAGCCCACAAATTGCTGCTTCCATAAAGACAGCAGGATAACTACCGTTCTCATATTGAATAGATTAGTAGGCCCAACAAATTGAATTTCATCCACCATATGTTTCAAAGAGGTTCCCATTCCTGCAAGGCAGAATCTTGAGGGCAGGCAGAAATGATACATCAATTTAGTACTCTTCTAAAAGAAAATTGAAATGTGTTGCTATATACACCACAAAGCTGGTCTTCAATTAGGTACCAGTAAGAGAACCACCAGGAAAAAGTCTGCAAGAGGAGGGTCCATAGCAATGCTAGCGTTTCCTTTTGCTTTGCATGCAGAAGGTCTTGAATGCAATCTCTGGCATCTCCAACTGACAGGATCAGGAAGCAGGTTAACAAGACCCATGCCCAAGACTCTGGCCTGCCCCTACCAATCAGTGGACCACACACAGAAGCCACACAGAATGGGTGATACAGAAAACCCCCATATCCACAGGAATGGGGTCCAAGCCCCCCAACCCCACCCCACCCCACCGATACCTGAAACCACAGATAGTAGTGAACACTATATACAACCAAATACATTGGTTTTTTCACAATTTCAGGACAGAAGATTTGTTCTTACCACGCATCCTAATAACCTCAATATACCTTTATTTCCCTATTAAATTGAGAATTTTCACTTCAAGGAAGCACTTTACAACTTCTCTTTCAAACCAAGGTCAACTGTGGTTAAGTGAAACTGCACTAATTGAACCATTGGATATGGGGCCTGCTGTATAACCTGATAGAAGCTTGAGTCTAGTGTTCCTCAAGATGATAATGTAAGACAAAGAATTTTTAATGTAAGAAAAATTGCAAGTTGGAGGTAAAAGTGTGTCCCAAGCCTGAGAATGTTGGACTACTGCTCTTTTAACAAGGGAAATTCCAGAGGTGCAGAAAGAAAGCTTGCCATGCTTCAAATATAAGAAGCAAGTCTTCACACAATAGATACTGTGTTTGTAGCAAGCACAAACACCGGCTATGAGAATTGCATCAGCACTGCCCTTGGGTTCCAGGGTGAAGGGAACCAGTTGGTGAAGGCTGTCCTGCCTTGCCACGGGACAGCCTTTGCCAACTGGGAACCCTCTAAATATTTGATTACAACTCCCATCTACCTGCAGCCCATGGCCGGGGTGGCTGGGAATGACTATAGGTTGACACAGTTGAATAGTACACTACCAGGAAAGACTGCCTCCAAGTATGCTGAGATGGCTGATCTAGAAGTTCCTGAGAACATTAAGAATATATATACAGGTATGCAGCCTGTAGGAAGATGGTGTGTTTTTACTGATGTTCCACTTCCCGGTCCTCTTCACTCCAGATGCAGTGGTCCAAATCCTCTCATTTCCACCCTACCATGTTTCAGACTCTCCCCACCCCCCACAAAAGCTCAGGCATCCAGCATGTTTGGCATTTCATATATATAGAAAATAAAAGGCTTAAAATAATTGTCTAACCAATCATGCCCCAATCCCTTCCTCCCTCTGACCCAAACATACACTTGAAACACTGCTTTGTGATTGGTAGGTCCTAAAAGCATTTTGCAAGGTGGCTTTTGGTACAAGTGAGAAGAATCCATTGCTCCAAAGCTGTATTCCTTGGAGAAGGCAGGACAGCAGTTTCAAACAGTGTAGAACCGTATGCGCCCCAGTTCTGCCTGTGTTGGTTTCCCCTACTTTGACAGCAGCATTCTGACTATCAGTTTGAATGCACCTTTGTATTATAATTAAATTGCTTGTGGACATACCCTAGGGCAACCAAGGCCCGAGCTGGAATAAATAGTCCTGCTACCACCATCCCTTTGAAAACATGGTGATATAGCCTTATTATATTCCCTATTTGAATATCAAGCCACATGAAGCATCCAGTCACATGAAGGACAAGAGTGGTGCTACATTTTTGAAGGGATAACTCCAATGATACTTCTCTTACCCTTCTACAAAAGCTACCAAAGGTAGAGCGGCCCTGTTCTCCAATGTTCACAATTCTGGCCACCTGACTGAGCCAGAAGCAGGATACATGCAGTAACTTATAAACATGAGAGAACTTCAGACTATGCTTAGCTTTCACACAACTGTGCCAAAAGCAGCTGAAAATCAGGAGAAAAGAAATGAGACTCACATTGGACCAGTAAAAGTGAGAGCAATTGTTTCTACCGGTCAAAGAATTGGGAAACCTTTATGCTCTCACGTTCATCTTGGCTGTTGTCTGTGCAGGATGCTATCACAGCATTGCCATACAGGGTCTACTCTACTAAGAGGTTCTGGTAGATATGCCTTGGGATTATGCCCCAAGCAGGCCATGCTTATAAAGCATAGATCATATTATGTGGCTGGGAGTAAAAGGTATGGCCCAATTGGTGGGATGTCTTGCTAGTACCTTAGCTCTTAGGAAAGTCACAAGGACCCATTAAAGTAAGAGAAGTAAGTCTCCTTTTGGACATTTTGAGGCAAATGATTAAATATAGTAGCTACAGCTAACATGTATTGTGTGTTATCTGCATGGTTAGTGGCTATAATATTTAAGCCAATTATGACAAATCTGTGGCACTTTCTCACATGAAAGAGAAAGTGTGAGAGAAATGGGAGGATGCCTCATTTAATATGGTATGGGTTACCACCCCTTTTTAATAAGCACTTGTTATCAAAATCTCTGTTCAAAATCCAATTATGTTACAATGATATTCAGTGTTTTGCCTAGTATGGTAAGGGAGCAATCCTAAGCATTTTTAAACAGAAGTAAATCCTACAACTCCCATAAATTGCCAACCAGTATGTTTCTGATTGTTTCTTAACCATGCATAGAATTGCTCACTAAAGGGCTTTTTTCCCAACCTGCCATACACAGGTTTGAAATTGCGTCAGGATTTCTGGGAAAAGAGGGAGGGAGGAGAGAGAGAGATGCCAGCAATCCATTAGGATATCAGTTAATTGCAAAACTGAAGCATTACTGATTTGCTAGCCCATCCATGTAATTAATCAGGAATATGTGCCAAATGAGATGATATATCCATAATTAGAGTTAGCCATTTCTCAAGGAATAGAAATTAAGGTTTAACCCAGTCTGATTCAGAAGTTAAGACCTTTGCGCTCTCACACATGCACAAGTGGGAGTGTTTCTATCCGGTGAAACCACTGTCCTATATAGGCCAGTATTTTCAAGTATGACTGGCAGGGTTTTTCCAGGGGCTCAGGTGGTCTACTGTGCATGGTCCCTTTACCTGGTGCTTGCTTTGGCAGCACATATATTAAATTGGAATGATACAGAGATTAGCAGCCTCCCTTTTACCTAGAGATTGAATCTACATTTTGAACTGTACCCTGCCACTAGCCTTAGCCAAACCTGGCATGGCAGTATATAAAGGCATTTTTATATTTCGGCTGCTTGCAAGTGACTTACAAATTCAAATGCTGTAGTTAACCCAGTACGAAGGGCAAAGAGCTTGATTTTTAGGGTTGCTAAGGTTCTGTAAATAACCACACAATATTCTCTTTGTGAAGTGGTAAGGATCAGGGTTGGTTGAGAAACCCTCATGCTCCAAGAGAGAATCCACATGACAGCAGGTAGGCAAGAAGCAAAGGAAACCAAGGCTTTTTTCCTTCAGCAGCAGCGGGAGTCCTGTCCTGCTTCAGCAGAGAAGTGTGTGGTTGTTAGACAGCTAACCTAAAGCAAGATAAAGGAGAGCAGGAAAAAAAAGTATAATGCACAGCCACGGCTCAGTTTGCAGGTGTGGGTTATAGTATTTCTGGTCCTCCAGAAATAAGTCTATACAATCCCTTGATAGCACATTTACAGCCAGGTTAGAACTGCCTTAGCCAAGGGCATTAGACTAGAGAGTCTTCAGGTAGGTTCCAATTCTATGCAAAACTAAAATGCTGAAAGCTTACATGATCATAAACACACAGCTGTTATGCTGAATTCAGCACTTACAAAAATGTATCTCACCATCCAGGCAATATTTCGCTCAGAATATACAATCCGAAAGCAACATTTTTTTCTACTCAGCTACAGAATCTGCTTAAAATCTTCCCACTCAGTGAAATGTTGCATGCTCAAAATATCTCACAATGTGCAAATAAAGCAAGTTAGAAAACATTTAGATTCATAGCCATGGAATTATATACAGAATGAGCACCATCTCTTACCTGATTTCCTTTTGGAGGATCCATAATCCCTGAAAAAAAGGCAACAACAGATAGACATGGTTAGGTCCTGGAGCACAGGGGAAGAAAAAGGTTGTTCCCAAGCTCCTACCCACTTGTGCAAAGGCACATTGTGGGATCCCTCTCCTTTAAACTGGAGCCTGGGAGCACAAGGCATTGATACACACACCAGTCGGTGATGCACCCTCCCAGATCAGCAGCAGCTGGTGCTTCTGCAGAGCTGGAGTGTAAGAAGCCCATGTGATCCCCTTGAAAGAGCCGACCATCCACACGGCGGGAGGGGGGGGCGATATCAATCCTTTCCCCTCTTTAAATCAAGCTTCAGATAGAGCTGTGGCTGGCTTAACCCCTTATTGTTTTCCTCTAACCCAAAGGCACAAGCCTGCTGCTATTGCCTGCCATGTCCCTGCATTTGCTCCATTAAGCAACGTTTTGTGATGCTTGTGGGTCCAATGGTTGCAAAAGCCGTTTGCCATCTGCACTGCCTGCAGCTCCTTCTAGCTATCTCTTGTCTGTACAGAAAAAAGGCAAGCAAGCTTCTTGCTTAGAAGGAGAGTAAATGCAGTTTCCTCACGCTGGCTGGAATACATGCTACAGCAAGCCGGTTCTTTTGATTATGGGGCAGACAAAGCTCCTTTATTTTTAAGGAAGGTCTTGTTAGGACATCCAATAGTGCAGAATAGCATTGATGGTCCTTAATGAGAAACACGTGTATTTCCAGAGCAGGTTTTTTTTTTTGGGGGGGGGTACAGTGAAATCCTATGTGTGTAAAACCCATTGAATATAGTGGGAGTTAGATCTCTTGTATGGCTGCAGGGGGTTTCACCTCTACATTATCAAAATGGAAGAAAATTCAGCAGATGTCACATTTTTCTAGTACCCATTTAAAGATTTTGCCAATCTATTCATACAATCCCTTTTTTCTAGAAGTGAACTTGGTCACTTGCCTAATATCCACTGGCATTCCTTTCTTAATTTTCCAAGCTGTTCTTAGTTTTGCCCATACTACCAATGCATTTGGGTTTATTTTCAGCACTTTACAAATAACATTCTCTCTCTCTCTCTCTCTCTCTCTCTCTCTCTCTCTCT